CTGTCTTTCTGTATTTCTTTTTTCTTTCTGTCTTCCTTCTCTCTCTCTCTCTCTCTCTCTCTCTCTCTCTCTCTCTCCCTCTCCCTCTTTCTAGGAGGACCTGAGACTCTTAGGTGTGGTGTCTTCACAGCTCAGGCTGTGGGTCAGCAGAACCCGGGATACTGGAGGAGACCAGGACTCCCAGGTAATAGACTCCTCCCTGTTCACCCACAATATGGAGCGACCCAAGCAAGGGTCAAGCCACTGCCTTGGAATTCTCTGTTAGAAGCCAACCAGAGATAACTGAAGCAAAGATTCAGAATGCAATGGGGTGAGTGGGATGGGCTTTGAGTTAAAGGGGGTGGGATTGTTCCCAGTAAGACCAGGCCAAGCAGTAAGAGGGGTCTGGGAACCTTGAAGCCCAGTCACATACTGGGAAGACAGGACTGCATCAGGTCCAGAATCCTTCCCCCTCACTCAGTCACTGTTTTCTCATCAGAACACAAGGAAGGAGGCAACATCTACCAAGGGGACCTCATGGGGAAAGCAAGCCACCTCTTCCACAGATACCCAGGTGAGGGGAAGCAGGAAATATTCCTAGGACCACTTGAATTTGGGATCTCACTGGCTTCAGCTGGAGATTTCTTCTTTGCCAGGGTGTTTTCTTAGGAAAACAAGTGCCGGCCTAGTCAAACTCCTTTCCCTTTCTCAGTAATGAAAGAGTAGGGTGAGGGTGCATCTGTCTGTATATGTGTGAGTGTATATGTGTGTGTACATATATACATACATACACATATACACAAATATATGTATATATACACACATACACATATGTACACATATATGTATATATAAAATGTATCTATATACATATATATTATATATATATCTGTATCTATGTCTATGCGTAGTAGAACTACCAAGAGGAACCTTGATGTAAAGGGTGGAGGGCTGGACTGGAGTCAGAACATCCCAAGTATGATCCTTGCTTAGACATTTATGATTTGTGTGATCCTGGGCAAGTAATTTAATCTTTCTCTGCCTCAGTTTCCTCATCTGTAAAATATGGATAATAATAGCACGTACTTCACAGAGTTGTTGTAAGGATCAAATGAGGCAATATATGTATAGAGTTTTGCAAACCTTAAAGCACTATATAAATGTTAGCTATTACTACCACAACTTCCTCCCATTATATTTATTTCCTATAATACAATATAATATGTAAAATCCGGAAATCTTCCCTCTCTTGCTATGTCTGGGTGATTTGGGCCAGCATAGAGAAATATCTGGTTGAGTTCTTCAATGTTCCTGGCCTTAATTGGAACCCTGCAATTCCCTTTCACATCTTCCCAGCAGACACTTTCGTTCTTGGCCCCTGTATCTTTGGGTATTGAGCTAGAGGTGCAGTGGGTACCTCCTCCCAGCCCTGAAGTTCTTGTGTTCCCCACTACCACCCCCAACTATAGCAGGACCAACTGATTTTTCTTCTGAGCCTTCCCTTCCTCATTTCTAATGTACTAACACTTTTGCCCCCACAGCTATGACAGGACGTGCCCAGATGGGAGGGCCTGGATCTGCAGCCTACATGCCAGGCCTGGTATTGGTTAATGCTGTCCTCACCTGTTACTGCTCCCTGCAAAGCTTCCTTTCTAGCCCCTGAACCTCAGAACTGACTGGGTCTCAGTCCCTGGAGCACCTAAGAATACGTGAGACAAATATCACTGCCAAAATGGGTGAAAAGGGAGAGTGAGCTGGATACTCCTGGTGAATCTCACCCAGCTCCTTCTTTGCTGAAGCCATCAGGCCTAGGAACACATTGACATCTTTACATTTTACCATAGGACTCTGACACCTTGGGAATACTGGACACGGACCAAAGATTTTGTCACTCCACTCAAATCATCTCTCCAACTTAGCAAGAAAGAAAGAAACAATCCTGCTCATCCCTGTGGGAAGGGGATAGTTAGAGATAGCTAGAACAGCCCCAACAGGGGTTAGATGAGTTGTTTCAGAGTCCTATCTACAAAGATTCTCTCAGTCCAGGCTGATCATGCCCAGTAGGGCCAACCCTCTGGAAGGTCTGCGTCCCTGGTATTGCCTCTCATCTCTGCAAATAACTCTCTCTGCCTCTGATTTACCTCTCTCCCTACATCCCCCCACTGAAAACACTCCCCCTTTCCCTCACTGGCTCCTAAGACCAACCATCCTGTCCACTCTTATCTATCCAGGGCCAAATGGTGAGGGGTGGAATTTTGACATTTTGTTGTGCCCAGATGCCTGTTCTTTGGTTTCTTCCCCAAATCCAAGACAGCCCCTTGACACCCCTCCAGCTGCCCACTCTCCTCCTTCTCTTTCCCTAATCTCCCCTGCCAAAATCTGCTTTCAGAAGAGGACCTGATAAATGCATTCACGTGAAGGTATAAGTGACTGATAGCAGCTTCAACTCTTCTCCCTCCCAGTGAAATTTGGTTTTAAATAGGGAGCAAAACTTTAAACTATGAAGATGAAACCAGGTGTGGAAGTCTTATCAATGCCCTTTAAATACTGCCCATTTCTGGTTCTCTCTTCAGTCAAATGTAGGTTGGGCCCTTTCCCTTCCATTGTCTGCTATGAAGGGACCTGGAGGCCAGAGTCACTCTATAGGGTCACCCCTGCCCACTCAGGATACAAAGCTGATGTTATTTAATGCTAGGTCTCTATGACCTTTGTGATGCTTGTTCACTTTGTGGATTCTCCAGAGCTGGTGTTCACTGTCAACCAGCAAACTCCTATTAACCTGATACATTAACCCCTGTGTGCTCAGGGAATGCAAAATCATTTAGAAGCTTCATTTCAATTGCCCATTTGCTGCCTTCTACAAATCCCGTGGCATCTTGCAGATGTTTTGGCATTAATTTTGGGGTTATCTGTGGTTTTAGAGCATCCAAGTTCATGTTCCTTTCTCTCTATGGAAAAATCAAGAGTTAATAATAACCCTTGGATGCCTTGAAGGAGACTAGATTGTCAAGGGTAAGATGAGTGCTCATGCTGGGTTTGGTAACTGGCCAGGATGCTGGGTGACTCCTGAGAGCAGCTCAGAGCCCTGGCAGAAGCAGTCAGTCAATAAACATTTATTAAGCACCCCCTCTATGACAGGGACTGTGCCAAGCAGGGGCAGTTCAATCATTCAGTTTATCCCCAGATATTTCTTTTGTGCCCATTGTACTCCAGGACTGTCAGGGGGTATGGGAGAAGGCGAGTTTATTTAGATCTAGACCGAGTCCTGCCTGGCCAGAGGAGTCTTCCTTGTTTCACTCTCAGAACTGACCTGGATTAGTAGAGGACATCTGAACCTTCCCCACCCGAAGTCAAGATGCTGCTAAGGCCTTTAGGAGAGATCAGAGGATCATGTATTTCAAACTAGACAAGACCTTAGAAGTCATCTAGTCTAATTCCCTCATTCTATAGATGAGGAGACTGAACCAAAGAGATTGTAACTTGCCCCAAACCCAACATTCTTATTCCATTGTAGCACATTGCAGTGTGATGAAGGTCCCTGCCTTAAGCTGGCTTCCAAAGCCCCTAAAGGTGTGTCCACAGGTCTCTGACATACTGATACAGGTGCAGGGAGCACAGAAGCAGGCATGGGAACACTTACAAAGACAGCTAAAATCTGCTCTTCCATTCAAGGAGCTTTTCCTCTAGGGGAAGGAGATGAGGCATGGACATAAATAAATATAATGAAAACTGAAATATGATAAATGCATGAAAGAATACAAAGTGCTGCGAGCTGAGAGGAGAGAGGTCTCTTCCAGCTGGGAGATCAGGGAAGCCTTCATGGAGGAGGCAGCATTTGAAGTAGACCCCAAGCTTGAGCTGGTCTCATGAGTCCTTTCTGGTCTGTTTTCCCTGACCCTCCTCTCCCCTCACTTGGCAGACCTGGATGGAAACTGCCTGGTTCCTTCTTCCAATCATCCCAGAATTCCTCTCAGAGTGTCTTTCCAGTGCTGAAATAAAATTGTTTCTGACTCCACAATATATCCTGATTACCTTTGAGCCAGGTACCTTTAATGCCAGCAATAGAGGAACGTAGGGTCTGGGATGCAAGCTACAACTGTTTTATCTGGTATTCTGGGCTCTGGCTGAGATCAGCGAGGGAGATGGGCCAGGATGGAGAGGAAAGTAGTGCTCCAGTAGCCCCTCATTCTAAAGGCCCTGTCTCGCCCACCTGTCCTTGCATCTCTCCACAAAAGAATTCTTGTTCAGCCCCATCAAGGTTTTTGACAACCACAATCCTGTGTATCTTTCTTTGTAGAGACCTCCAGGGAAACAGGTGCTCCAACCCCACCCCTTCCCACCCCAGCTGTCTGTTCTGCCTGTGGTCCAACTGCTTCTACTAGTCATAAAGTCTCCCGGGTGTCTGAACTCTAATTCCTTTCATCAGGGGCCACTGCCCACCCACTCTTCTTTTCCCTGGGACCCCATGCCTTCCCACCACATCACAGATCCCAGGAGAAGAGTTAGACCCCATGATCCAGCTTTACAAATGGAAAAACAGTTGCCTCCTCTCTGGATGAGTTGTCAAAAGAGATGATCTTTATGGACCCTTCCAATCCATCAGTCAACCGCCCCAACTCCTATAAGTTGAGGCCCAGAAAGTAAGTGGAGTGTTCAAGGTCACATAACCAGTTATTGGGGAGCTGAGAGGACCAGATGACATAATATCATTTCAAGTATGATACAGAACTCAGGAATGTCACCTTGCACACACCCTTCCCCCCGCCCCCCACCATGGTGCCTGGGCCAGTCATGTTCCAAATTGCAGGGATAGTGACTGAGTTTTAAGATTGAAATCTATCCATCCCCACTAGCCTGTTCCCATCCTGGCTCTCTCAATTTCTGGGGCCCCAGCCTTCAGCATCTGCTTATCAGACTTCTCAAGAGAGACAGCTGGTTTATGTCACATCCCTCTCCCCTCCACCCACGTCCCCACCAGGTCCCCCCATATCTGCCCTGGTTTAAAATAGCCTGTCTCAGCAGCTGGACAATAGCTTGGGCATATAAGGCGTGGGGGACAAATTCCTCGGCCTGGTCCTCAGCACCTGCCAAAATAGCAGCAGCCCATTCCCCGCCCCACTGCCTGTGTCGACACATTCCTTTCACTGCGGGACTTGGCTCCTGGGACCAGGGTCTCTCATGCTCATGCTTAAAACCTTGTCCTTCCCCCTGCCTCCAGCTAGTTCCCCACGAGCAGACACTAACCAGGATCTCTGTTGAGCCCGGCCCAAGGTAAGCCTCCAGCCTGAGTCTCTAGAGAGGGGAAGGCAGAGCCAGGGATGGGGAGAAAGGAGGGAAGTTCTTGACACCTTTGCCCAGAGAAGGCTGTTGGTCTGTCTGGGTCTTAGTATAGGGAAATTTGAGATGTAGATCTGAGTGACTTACCAAAGTCAAGGTCACCACATTTGGGTGAGAAATTGCAAACAAAAGCTCGAAAAGGAGG